TTCTGGGGTGGGGGCAGTCAGGGGATGGGGAACAGGGGGCGTTGGATAGGCATGGGAGTCCCAGGGGGGCCTGTCGGGGAGTGGGGGTGTGGTTAGGGGTCGGGGCAGTCAGGGGATAGGGAGCGGGGGAGGGTCCCAGGGGGTGGTTGGGGCAGGGGTCCCGGGAGGGAGCGGTCAGGGGACAAGGAGCAGGGGGAATTGGATGGGTTGGGGGTTCTGAGAGGGGCAGTCAAGGGGTGGGAAGTGGGAGGGGATGGATGGGGGCGGGGGCCAGGCTGTTTGGGGAGGCACAGCCTTCCCTACCCGGCCCTCCATACAGTTTCTCAATGCCGATGTGGCCTTTGGGCCAAAAGGTAATGCATATTCATGTGTCCTGAGGACAACTATCAAAGGCCTTGGCTACACTGGCAATTCACAGCGCTGCACTTGCTGCGCTCAGGGGTGTGAAAAAACACAGCGAGTGCAGTGTAATCAGCGCCTGCAGCACTGCAAGCTACTCCCCTCGGAGCGACTACACTCGTGCTTCACAGTGCTGCCGCGAGTGTAGCCAAGGCCAGAGTAGCACTGGTGGTGTAGCAGTTAGGATGGCTGTTTCTAGGCAGTCTGTCTGGGTTCAATGCCAAACGAGTGTGGTGTTTTCCTCAGCTCTTCCCTGCTTTTCCCACAGCAAAGCAGTGTTGCCAAATAGTGAGAGGAGAGGAACTCCTTTACCTTATAGAGGGCTCTGTGGCCCAATGGATAGCGTGTTGGACTTCTAAGGAGTAGTGCCTGGCCTCTATGCATTAAGATGGTTATTCAAAGGTTGTGGGCTCAAATCCCCCCAGAATCACTTTGCTGCTCCTGGCTGCCATTGTGGCTATGCAATAGGTAGGACTCTACCAAATTCGTGGTCCATCTTGGTCAATTTCACAGTCATAGGATTTTTAAAATCGTAAATGTCATGATTTCAGCTATTTAAATCTGAAATTTCAGGGTGTTGTAACTGGCACTGCCTTCAGAGCTGGGCAGCTGGAGAGTGGTGGCTGCTGGCCAGGAGCCCAGCTCTGAAGGCAGAGCCACCGCCGGCAGCAGTGCTTGGCATGATATGGTATTGCCACCCTTACATCTGTGCTGCTGCCTTCAGAGCTGGGCCCTCAGTCCGCAGCCGCCACCCTTTGGCTGCCCAGCTCTGAACTCAGTGCAGAATTAAGGATGGCAATACCGCGGCCCCCTAAAATAACCTTGCAACCCCCCTGCAACTTCCTTTTGGGTCAGGACCCCCAATTTGAGAAACGCTGGTCTCCCCCGTGAAATCTGTATAGTATAGGGCAAAAGCACACAAAAGACCAGATTTCACAGGGGGAGACCAGATTTCACAGTTTTTCAGCTGTGATTTTGGTAGGGCCCTAGCAATAGTCAGCCACTTGAGTGTGGCCAAATGGGGCCAAGACTAGGGCCGAAAGGCACACCTGGCTACCAGTAGGTAGAAGCCTCTTCCTGCATCTTCGCTGTGCAGGGAGATGTGTTTAACCTCCTAGAGAATTAAGGAAAAATGGGAAGGAGAAAAAGAAACGAAAGCCTCTTCCAATGACTGAGGCCTGGTACAAGCCTTCTGCGGCTGCTCCTTTCCGGCCCATCTGGGTGCCCCCTTCTGGCCATACCAGGGTTGGGGCACTGCCACTGAGCGGTGGGCAGATGGGATCCAGCAATCCCTGGCCTCACACTGAAGAGACAAATGTTTTTAAGCCTCTCCACTAACTTAGGTGTCGACTCTTAAGCCTCCCCACCTTGTGCTGCAGCCATAGTATTTAGCCTTCTTGTGTGGGTTCTCCTGCCGGGGAGAACGGGCCCTCTGGGGCTCCATTTGAGGAAGAAACCTGGGCCGGAAAGAATTGCGGTCGCAGGTCAAGCTTGTGTGTCCAAAGGGCTGAGCTGGTGGCCCCAGCAGCTCAGGCCGGTGCTCCCACGAGTAGGGGAGGCAGCTGAGTAGGGTGGCAGGCCCATGGCCTTGGGCCTCAGGCCCATTCATCCATCTGCTCCTCCCAGGACCCCAGAGAGGAAGTGGCCAGACACTCGTCCTGGCAGGCTCACCCTTCTCCCCTCAGAGTGGCCATGCCTGCCTCTGGCACCTTAATCCTCTCCCTGGGATCACTCTCCCCACATCCTGAGCAGGGAAGCCTCCTGCGCCAGGCGCTGCAGGGCCCTTTCCCAACTTGTTGGAGGGCTCCGCCCTGGAGCGCAGGTCTTGGGGGAAAAGGCAAAGTCTTGTCTCAAAGGCTGATTTTCCAGAGATGGCAGCCAGGGAGCTGCTCTGCTTGGCACCTAGTCTCTGCTTTCACCTTCTCTAGTGAGAGTGAAGATGAAGATTAAACCACCTTTAGCCCTTTGGCTCCACGGAAGATTTCTGTCCACCCTGAGCTGGCCGTAAGATACCTGGGTAGGATGTGGGTGGTGTAGCACCCAGTGAATGTCCCCACCTGAGACTGTTCCTGGAGCGGGCGGCAGCTGGTCTGTGCCAGACTTTCGGTGCCAGCCATCAGAGCCCCTCGGGGGGAGGGGAGGGCTTGCCCCCGGCCTCAGGAGGGAAATGAAAAAAACAGCAGTGTAGATGATTGAACCCCACCAGTGTCACTTTGGCTGCAGTCTGGCTGAAGACAGGTTCTAGGTAATGCATAGTCACGGGTCTTAAGGGCTATTAGCAAGGCAGCATTCGTGGTGTAGTGGTTATGTTAGGTAAAAAAGCAAGTCCTCACTCACCTCTCCAGCACCCGAGTTCGTGCGGAGTTGGTATGGGGCTCACAATCTGTCAGAGACCAGACACCAATTCGTTGATCAACGGGCTCACACTATCCTTAGCTTGAAAAGCTTCAGAGTAAGTGTGGCAAGTTTACTCGGGCGGAGCAACATAATGTATGCTGTGAAGCAATAGATGTGTTTTTTGAGCCCTGGCCTG